CAAATCTAACACGACTCAGCCATATATCCAACTGATATTAAACTATAAAAAATCATTTGTATTTTGGTTTGATCTTAATTAGTTTGGATTTACTAGTTTAGAAATGTTTGTCGTTAAGCAGATAATATGAGATTGAAATTTTTGATAAAACGGTGACAGTATCTGGTTTAAGTTTGGCTAAATGATTTGGTATCCGTCTCTGTTTTTTTTTTTTGTTTTATAGAAACGGATACTTTATAATTCACTTTGCTTATGGTTTTTTTGTGTTTTTGTGGTTTTGTTTGACTTGGTCTTTGGTTTAGAAATACTTCTCATACACTACTCTCTACTTTCTCGTTAAAGAACCCAAGGGGTCGAATTTCTTTTTGTCTCGAATCCATCCCTATATATTCATCAACATTATGTTGACAACATATGACATCCGTCCTAATGATGCACACAGTCTTTTACACAACGAATCACCAAATACTTGACTTGCAAATATCAAGGTAGAGATGTTTGTGCTGAGGAAAATGGATGCAACTTTGTGTTAACGGCTGTTAATTATGCTTAACTGACAAAAATCAAACAGTTAAGACAAATCCTGGGAGAGATATATATTGATCATCTCAAAAGTACCAATATCCTTTAGAGATAGTGTGTAAAAACACAAGCTTAACCCCAGTTTTATATCCATATAATAACTTTTGTTTTGTTAAAAGAAGGCTCACAGCAAGGCAAAACTTTCGGAGACAAACTAGGCAAAATATTTTTTTATAAAATTTGAATAAGAAGATGATAGATAGAGCATTTACGGGTGTAAATCATATTAGAATGACTACTCAAAATGAATAACATCGATCAACTCTAACTTTACTAGTCACTTCCATTGCAATCTACTTTTAGCCAATATTTCTTCTTCTTCTTCACTGTAGAAGCCTATGAAACAATAAATTAGTCGCACAATTTGCGACAAACTAAATTCGTCGCAAACTCCGACGGAAACAGTTTGTGAGTTGTTTGCAAAAAAATGATAAGCGCAAATTTTTGTAGCAAATTAGTCGCAAAATTTGCTACCATTTAGCTACAAGTTCATAAGTCGCAAGCGTGGAAATTTGCGACGTGTTGGTGACAAATTTGTCACTAATTTGCCACTTAATTATTGTTTATACTTTACTAGATGAAAGACCCGCATATATGCGGGTTTGTGATTTAACTTTTTATAAATCTATAGAAAATAAAATATTTAATTGTGGTGAACAAAATTAGATCACCCGTTAACATAAATAAAATAAAAATAAGAATGTTACTGTAAAACCATTGATCGAGAAGAATATTATTTATTAATTAATTTTTTCTGTCTTTGTTATGTGATTTACAATTAAATTTTATCACATATTTTGAAACTATTAGTTTTTCTTAGTCCTATTTAAATTTGGTAAATTTTTTTACTTTTAAGTTTTAATCTTGTTTTACTATTCAAATATCTACTTCTGAAAATATTGATGGATTATTTCTCATATTTATATTTGAACTATTTTTACTCTTGAATATTTTATAACTTGCAAAATCAAAGACGAGAAAACAAAATTAGATAACTCCATTTAGATAATAAAATAAAATTGAAAACGTTATTACAAAATCATTTATATATAGAAATCTTTCAAATATTTATCTATTGTATTTTTATATTTTATTTTTTATATTGTTTGATTTTTAACTAAGTTATATCACATATATTCAAATAGTAAAATATTTCTAATCCTATTTAAAGTAGGATTATATTTTACTATTTACCAAATTAAGATATTATTATTTTTAAATAGATAAATCTTTTGACATCTGGATAAATCTAATTAAAAAATGTTTTATATTTGTATAGATTTAACCGATTGACTCAAACATGACTCGATAAGATTAATTACCTTGTATAAAAATCC